CAACTTCGGGCAACCCACGAGTCCACGACGGCGTCATACAGTTGCCTAAGTCATTGGTGATGATCTCAACACGGTCATGCACTCATGCTGCGGCCGCCAATCTCCGATCCAACGCAAGAGTATTTGCAGTGGTCCCCAAATAGATCCCAGTCTCCGGACCTTCTTCCACGATGGTTTCGTACTTTTGTTCATCCCTAACCTGTGAGATGTCTTCCGTTATTTGGACTTTATATATCCTTCTAATTCTAACATTGCACTTGTGCTGCATGATGTAAACATAATTGATTTAAGCAGGAACAATTACGCCGTTTTGTAGAGACGGGTTATGCCTTTTTTAGAGACGGGTTATGCCCTTGGTTTCCCTTTTATATTAGTATAGATTGACTAATACATAATTAAATATAATCACAGTCAGAGTTGTGTGTTGGCAAACGTGAAAGTCAAACTGTTGCAAGATTTAAAGAACGGAGGATAGTATACTTTTGTATACATGAATGTTAATGTGTCTATATATATAGAGTTATTTTGATCATTTTATTATTCGGGAAAATACATGTATTAAATCATGTGATGTAAACATGAGCTTATAACACTGCTTATTTTACGTATCACGTATTAACGCAATTCTTCATAAGCACCACTTAGTAACATGTGAAGTAAATATGTCCTTAGTAAGTAGAACTTTAAACACCTGTTTTGGTTAGTAAGCAGCTTTTTAAGTAGTCTCTGTGTTTACTGCACATGTCTTACTAACCTAACTGTGTTTTTAGTAATGAAGTAAACACGTCCTTTTCCCGAATATTACTGAAATAAAGAAAAATGACGTAAATGCTACCTTTAACCTTATTCCAATGTAAAAGTCTTAAATTAAGATGGTGAAAACACGCGGCCGTACAACTAGGCACATACACCAAACTTAACCACAAGCTCTAGAATTAGACATAGGGCCACGATGCATGGAGTCTACCTCTATGGGAGGGATGTGTGGACCTTTGTTCCACACAATAGGGACTCCCAATTGATGAAGATAATTTCTCTAATCCGAGACCAATTGGTCTCAAAGTTCTCTTGTTTGGATAATGCCTTACAATTCCTTGAAAAGAGTGCCCCAATGGGAAAAACTCTCCTCGGGTAAGGTATATGACTTGCTTAGAATTAGAGTCACACCTAGGGTGTGGATGTCTTTCATTTGGAAACCCTACATACCCCCAAAGTTTTCATACATTGTGTGGCTAGCTTTGAGAAATAGGTTGGTCACCTATGATAACTTGGGGTACCTTGATTTGATTAATGAATGTCCTTTTTGTAAGTGTGAACCGGAAACGATACCACACCTAATTTTTGGTTGTTCTATTACGGGGCAGATATGGACCAGGATTAGACATTGGTTGGGGCTAACAATGCACATGACTAGTCTAAAGAGTGCAATAAAGTGGATTACAGAGGAGCACAATGGAGTAAATCTAAAGGCCAAAGCTGTTCGGATTTTCTTTTGATATATGGTGTATTGGTTGTGGAGGACTAGGAATGCAATTCGGTTTGAAGGAACCACCCCAAAGGTGGATGGAGTTTTGGCAAAAATCAAATATATGGTGTACAAAGTTCGTTATACCATGTACCCAGTTCATATGATTACTTTTTGAACATTTGGGCTGTTTAGTCACCCATTTTTTCATGGCTTGATGGCTGATTTTTGGGGTGTTTGGTAGCTAGCTTATACAGCTAGCTATGGATTAGGTGTATAGGGTATCCTTCTATAGGAATGCCTACATTTTTCTTTTTGATGTACATAAACCTTCTTGGATGATTATATATATTTACAGTTCATCCAAAAAAAAACATAGAGCCACGAGAAATACTTGCTAACCATGAGACAAATACCAATAAGCTTATAGTGGCCGAATTATAATCCATGTCTCCCAACTTGACTCATAAATGAACCCTAAGAGTTATCACGATGGAACTCACCCAATTGTTCAGAATAAAAACTTCAAACACGCTATAAGGTGAATAAGGGAAAGTTCACAATTTACCGGTGGCGTTTTTGCTTTGAAAGTGACTCAAAGAGTTGGGAATTATTTAGGAAAATTAATTAAAATTGATGACAACCAATTATTTAGAATTTGTGTTTAGGTTGATATTTGGAAACCTCTCAAGAAGAGTATAAAAATTCATAAGGAGGATGAAAAACTCCCTAGTTTTTATTTTCAATGCAGTATCAATGTATCATAGGTCATGCAGACGTGTTTTTGTTCCCTGGAGCTAGAACATGTCTCTAAGCTGAAGGCATCAGGTCCATGGTGAAGAGCATTATCTACGGGTCGAACTAGCGCCAATAAAGGCAACAAATGGTCGGTTTTGGAGCAGTGACTCAATATGGGTGGACAAAACAAGGCCGGTCGGTGTAGAGGAGCCGAGCAAGGATAAGGAAGGTTATAGGGCAGAAATACAGATAGGAAAAGAGAGGATCCCTCAAGGATGATTGGTAACTATACCATGCATCAAGGTCAGTGATTGTTGCGGTTCGGAAAGCTTCAAGATGAAGATCCCAAACGGAGACATGTGAGGAAAGACATGGTAGGAGACTAGATAATGATGGAGGTTTGGAGTTTTTGGTCTAGACATCTAGTTGTTTTTCTGTGGCAAACTGGTAGTCAGTTGGGTTCATATTGGAGTTTTTAATGGAGTATATAGTCATGGACCACCGATCACATATTCATACTACATAGAAACAAGTCCAACTACCCGTAAAAGCCTAACAAGCAACCAGTCATCCCTCGGGTGGGCCACTGTTCACCGGGGCCAGTACAACTTACAGAATGGGCTGCTGACAAAATCAATACACAAAGTCCGTCATCTCATACGACCCCTCGATATGTTCCCTCAGCGCTCGAGAGCGGACACATTCAATGCACCACCACGTGTCCGGTTCTACCGTACAATTTAGAGTTCTCCTCCACGTGTACGTACATTTAATTCGACAAGTATTTATGACTAGGTTCAGGGCCGGCTCAATAGATTAGGAGACCCGGTGCAAATCACGTAAAATATGGCTTATATTAAATAAATATAATATAAAAAGCAGTCTTTAAAAAATAATCCAAAAAAGATTACAATCAAATGTGACATTGAGATATAATCATATTTCGAACCTGAACAGCCAAAATCGGTTAAGAAAAACTAAAACCGAAAAGAAATGAATTAAAATCATGAACTAAAAAATATAGAGTAGGATATTACTGAAAAAACTACTCCATATGTCCCTTAAAACCAAGCTCGTCCAAACTGTACGAGTAATTCGTGCTAATTACTATAACTAGGCCTTATCCAGGCCTTATGTAATAAAGAAGTTGCACATTTATATTTAACAATTGCATTTTAATTACATATAAATATTAGTATTTAATGTTTGTATTTAAAACCAAAATACTAAAATAGTAATCTTTCATCAAACAAATAAGAATTTTGCATATTATGTAGACTATATTTAAAATTTTGGGCCTTCTGAATCGAGAGGCCTTGTGCAATAGCACTTCTTGCACGTCCTCATCTACGGCCCTGACTAGGTTAAAAGTTCCCATTGGAGAAATAAAATGTAACAGTTCGAAGATTGATTACAAAACTATTTCGTACATTTTAAATGGTTGAAGAATGCGGTGCATATGTTAAATTACTCTTTAAAGTGGTATATAAGGATGTTTTTACTTGGACTGTAATTTGCTGGTCTAGTCTGGTCTGATTTGGTCTGGTAATGTCTTCTTGTATTCTTGTATTTGTAATGGATTTTTACAATATATTAGAATTAAAAGTAATTGTTGAGCAGGGAGTTGGTACGGTATTATACGGATATACCGTGGTATTTGAAAACATTTACCGTTACCGTACCGAAAATGACGGTATATCAATATTTCAGTATTTTCCGGTATTTTTCGGTACGGTAAGTGCGGTATACCGATTTTTGGGTATTTTTGCCCATCCCTCGCAGTGCGGTAGACTGCGAATTTTGCCCACAGAAACTTTGGGACTCAATATAGGGGGTGTTTGGTACCCCCAGTTTCTAAAAAAACCGATTCTGAGAGTAAATTAGAGCACTAGAAGTACTTCTGGAATTTCTAGGGTTGTATACGAACCGAATCGAGTCGAATAGTAGGATTTTGTATTTGTATTTGTTTAATTTTTTCGAATACGAATTCAAATTCAAATATGAAACGAATATTAATTTTGATTTGTATTTGTATTTGTTTAATAATACGAATAGTTAACGAATCTTATACGAATATCGAATATATTTGAGCATAGGTTAAATATTAGTCAAATATCACTTTAAAATAAATTTTATTATATTTTTTTTATGTTGTAAATGTACGCTATGACTTAATATGTGTTTTTAGAATTTAAATTCAATGGATCAATGTAGTTTTAGATTGTGCACGATATACTTAAGTGAATCAATTTTATGATTAACAAATATAAATCTATTTCAAACTTTTTGAAATAAACACTAACACACACATGTTAGAAATTATACTTATAATGTGTGAAATAAGTTGATAATTGTATATATCAAAGTCAAACGACTCTAATTTTATTCTGCAAATCAAATACATAATTATTTGTATTGTATTTGAAAGACATTTGAACCAAAAAACCAATTTGTATTTGTATTTATACTCTGACTTGTTACCAATGGACTTAGAATCTGTATGCATAAATGTATATATGAACTACATTTTAGGGTATTGCTATCTTTTAAAAGTTATTATAGAGTTATTACTATTATTATTATTATTATTAATACACTATCATTAATCGAATATATTTGATTAATATTCGAATCGAATACATTGATATTCTTATTTGTATTTGATAACAACTCGAATCAAATTTAATATTCATATTTGTATTTGAATTTTTCGAATTCGAATCGTCTTATACGAATTCGAATCGCGAATCGAACAAAAATTATTTGATTCATTTACAACCCTAGGAATTTCAGCCAAACACTCCAACTGCTTGTGCTCCCTCCCTGAGATCAGATCCAAACACCCCATAACCGATCCGCCATTTAACCTCTGACCTCGCTGAGACGCCGGAGAGGGCGAAGAAGGATCAGATTTGTGTTTCGAGAACTGGAAATGCCAAATTTCCACTCGAAAAAGCATCTCAGGTATTCCAACCTCAATGTTTTGCATACTTATTGCTCGGTTCCTTTTCGCGATGTCCCTAAACCCTCCCCATACCCATTCCAAGCTACCTCTTCTTCAATCTGTGATTTTGATTTAGATATACTCTCGTATAAGACTTATTTAGGCAAATCTTCATCTCGAACGCCTTCAAAGAGCAATGTTGACCTATTCGCTTACCCACAAATTCGTTCTTTTAGCTTCAGTTCTGACCCTTACCGCCTTTACAACAGCCAATCTGCCCTTCCACAGGCTGCCTGTAGGTTTTGTTGTTCAAGTTGTATAAATCCATCTAGATTCTTCTCTGCTCAGAATCTTTCGGAAACTATGGTCCATAACGAGAAGAGTGAGAGTAAAGCTATGGTGGTATCGGGGAGTGGAGAATCCAGAAGAAACGCCAATGAGATTAGCTTAGTTACACAAATAGTTGAGATCATTAGGAGCGGTGGAGAAGATTTTAGGTCCAATTTGAGTTCAATGTCGTCTTCACTTGACTCTAAGCGAATTCTCATGAATACTTTTAAGGTTCTGAATCAACTTAGAATATCTGGATTGGATTTTTTCAGAACTCTTGTGGAGATGAAACCTAATTTGTATAGAAGTGGTGATGTCTGTAGCCTGATCATCAACAACTGTGGGTGGTTGGGTGATCAGGAAGCACTGTTATCTTTGCTGCAGGAGTTTAAACTGCAAAGTATCTGCCTCAATCAAATGGCATTTGAGTTTTTACCTCCATCTGAACAAGGTAAAGATGATCTGATGGAGTCTACTAGAAGAGTGATAGGAATGTTAAACAAAGTCGGCGGATCTTGTCTTCATTCCGGAGTTAATGCGTTAATCGAGAAGTTTTGTTTTTTGAATTCGTTCCAAATGGCTAAATTTGTGATGGAAACCACAGATAGGACAGTTCGTCGGTACAATATTTTGATCCGTGCAAGGTGTAAACGAGGTCAAATTGAAGAAGCACATGCCACCATTGAAGAAATGCTTGAACACGGTCATCTCCCCGAGACAAACACATTCAACTATCTGATTGGGTATTTGTGCAAGCGTGACAGGATGGATGAAGCGTGTCAATTGCTTAATAGAATGAAAGAAAAAGGGCCTCCTCCTGATTCAATAACGTTGGAAGCAATAATATATCACTCAGCCATTCGAGGCCGTTTGGATGTTGCTTTCCGGTATCTCGACTTGACTGTAAATCTGAATATTGTACCTCGGCCCACTACTCTTTCAGCGATTCTGAATGCGTTGTTCCGTGCAGAACAACACGAGAAAGCATATGAATATGTTAATGATATGACTGCCAAGTTTAAGACCTCAAGCAATACGCTTTACAACTTGTTTGCAAAGCTTCATTTGAAAAAGGGGGATCCTGTCATTGCCAAGAACATCTTAAATGAAATGGTCAAGAAGGGGTTAATGCCAAAATCCTCGACCTGTTTAATTTGTGAAGCAAGTGAAGAACAGTGACACTGGAATGACAGTAACATGGGATTTGGGCCATATTTAAGGACCATGTTGCGATACCTTTAGGGCTGGTTTGGCACGCGAAAGGCTGGCTTACATGCTACCCATGATTTATTTTTGTAGGTATGTATGTACTTTTCCAAAAAGCTTGTTTGGTTGGAGGAGCTTTTTTTTTAAACTCGGGCTTCAATAGTTGTGTCTAGTTTTTAAAATGTGCTACATGTGCCATTCCTTTATAATTTCATTTCAACCTCTTTCTCTTTTGGAAATTAAGTTCCTAAACTCGTGCTTATTTCAAAAGTTTATGTATGTAACTTTGAATTGTATATTTTTATGTCATTTGAAATTTTAAGACAGCTTTTCAACTGCTTTTGTATTGCTGCTTCAGATTTGAAACTCTGTTTCTTAAAATGGGAATGCTATTCTGCATTTATAATTTAGATGATCATGGTAACAAAGTCCTTGTAGGTTTTGGAGTGATCTGTCTTGAGTCTGTGGGATCTCCTTGCATTTTCTGATGTTTTTGTGATTGTATTTTATTTTTGTTACTTCCAAGTTTGTTTAGTCAGTTGCTTACATAGCTTTTCTAATTACTTGTTTACTTCTATATGTTTGTGTGTGAACTTGTTTTCCTCATTGATTCAATTCCATGCTTTTGACAGTCCACAGTATCTTTCACCATTTAGTGTTTCATCTAAAACAATTTCTCTGGCCCTTGAAATAGAGATAAGTTTTTTGCAAATCTTACCCTCCCCAAAGCTTACTTGATTCGATTCATTTGTTTGAGTTAGCTTACTGGCATTATAAATAATTTAATGATATGTTTGTGCATCTTATTAGTAGCATTCTCCTAAATACTACATAAGTTTACTGGACTATCATTGAATATTGAATGAAATCATGTGAGCACTGGTCATCGGTATAATCGGTTGCATTGCCGTGCATATATGAGCACCAGCGTACCCAGGGGAGCGTTCGTAGGGAGGGTGGGTTCCTTGCATTTTCTGGCATTTTAGTTTTTGTGCTTACATTTTATTTTTGTTACTTCCAAGTTTGTTTAGATACGTAGCTTTTCGACCGGAAACAGTCTCTCTGTGCTTAGTACAGGGGTAAGACTATGTATATCCGACCCCACCTTACCCCACTGAAGATGAGAGCCTTTGTGGCACTGGGGTAATGCAACATTCTAATCTAACTTCAAAGAATGAATAAAAAAAGTAGGAATTCTTAAAGCAGAAAAGAATTCAAACGAGAGAACTCAGAGATCATTCATGGTGGAAGGAGATCAATTGAATTTGAATTCTTAGCTCATTATTCTTACATGCATACGTATTATATACAACATTGACTAACAACCCCAAGCAACGAATAACAGATTTGTTTATCTAACAACTTTTACTAACTAATATGTTATCCAACGTGTATGCATGCATGAACGTCCGTCTTGTTTAGCTGAGGCGTCCAGTGACGTGGCATCAGAGTGCCGTTTCATAACAGTTCCCCCCCCTTCCTTAAGAAGCTTGATCTCAAGCTGAAATGTGTTTCGCTACAAATTAAGGAAATCTCTTAGTTAGCTCGTCATACGATTCCCACATAGCATCTTCCTTGTCCCCATTGGACCATTGTATTAACCAGTATACTGCAGCATCATCTCTTTTCTTGGCGATCTTCCTTACCAGGACTGTCATAGGTTCCAACCTGATTATACCCTGATCATCCAACTGAGGCAGGCTCAACCTTTCATGAATATCTTCCTTATGCTTTTTAAGTTGTGATATGTGAAATACTGGATGGATTCTTGCTTCCTCCGGTAATTTCAGTTTATAGGCCACTTGTCCCAATTTTTTTATAATTTCAAATGAACCAAAAAACTTAGGGGCTAACTTCAGCCTTCAGGTTTACCATTTTAGCCATAGATTGTTGCCTATAGGGTTGTAACTTGACATAAACCCATTCCCCTTCCTTAAATTCCTTTTCAGTCCTATGTTGATCCGCTTGGCTTTTCATTCTATCTTGAGCCCTCTTCAAATGAAATTCAAGCATATTGATGCATTCTTCTCTAGGCTTTAAACTCCTGTCCACAGCTTCTACAAGACTACCACCAATCGTATAAGGAAAATGTAGGGCTGGGGACTGACCATACACCACTTCAAAAGGAGTAGTCCTGATTCAAGAATGATAATTGGTGTTGTACCAACACTCTGCTAGAGGAATCCATTTTTGCACATTCTTTTGGTTGTTCTCCAGATATACATTTCAAGTATGTTTCCAAGCATTTGTTAACACTCTCAAACTGACCATCTATTTGTGGGTGATAAGCTGTGGACATTTTTAGCTCCACCTTTTGTAGTCTAATAGCTCTTGCCAGAATTTGTTGAGAAATATCTTGTCTCTATCACTGCTTATGGATTTAGAAAGGCCGTGTAACTTAAAGATATTATCAAAGTATTCTTTTGCCACAATACTAGCCTGATATGGATGGCATAGCAGTATAAAGTGGGCATATTTACTGAGCCTGTCAACTACCACTAAGATGGTCTCCTTGTTTTGAGATTTTGGTAGACCTTCTATGAAGTCCATAGAGATGTTTCCCCATATAGCTTTAGGAATAGGAAGAGGTTTTAGTAGGCCTGCAGGAGCATGTAAAAGGGGTTTATTTCTTTGGCATGTGCTACTGTTTGCTACCCTCTCTTTCACATCCCTTTTCATTCTTTTCCAATATAATAGAGTATGCAGTCTTTGATAGGTTGCATGCACTCCAGAGTGTCCCCTTATGGCAGAGTTATGTATCCTCTTGATTATATCCTTCCTTAAAGTTTCATCGTTGCCTACTACAATGCTTCCCTTCCTTCTTTTATTCTGGCCATGACTTCAGGTAGTTTCCCTTGTGCCCAACTCCCTCTGATCTTCTCCATTTAAATCAGAACTGCAAATTTACCGCCTCTCAAGACCACCTTCTTATTGAGATACTTAAACTCCATGATCAATTCTTTGAAGTTCCAACTAAACTGGCCTAAGGAAGTCAGCCATTATATGCCTAGTACCATCTCACAACCTCCCAAAGGTACTAATAACATTAGTTTGGAACTCATGACAATGTATCTTCCATCTAAAGTCATAACAAGTCTGATTGGTGATTAATTTCTCACCATTGGCAACAGAAACTTCCAAAGGAATAGACTTATAAATTCTGCATCATAGCTTTCTGGCCATATGGAAATCCAAGAAGTTATGTGTACTTCCTGAATTAATTAAGATATAGAGATCATTATTCTTGACCCTTCCGGTTACTCTCATAGTCTGGTATTGTTGATGACCAGCTATGGCATTTAGGGAGATTAGAAGTTGCACTTCTCATTCTTCTATGTTCTCACCTTGTCTCTCATCAAAGTGACTCGTTTCCCCTAACTTTTCTTCTTTTGGAGATTCAGAACTGTGCTCTTGATCAATAGGAAGAATTTGTAGTTTATACATTTGAGCCTTGCATCTATGCCCAAGGTAGTAACCAAGGTTGTCAAAGTCGAGCGCCTGAGCGCTTAAGCGCACCAGGCGCAGCGCCAAAGACCCCCAGCGCCCTAAACAAGGCAAGTCGCACTCCCCCCTCTCAGGCGCAGGTAAGGCGCACAAAGCGCAGAAGCGCAGGTGGGCTATTAAGCGATCGCTAGTCGCGCCTGACAGGGGAGAATTTTTTCCCGGTTTTACTGAGTGTTTTTTTTTTACATTTGCGGTCAAACAAGACCAGTAAAAGGCCCATATTTTTAATATGGCCCATGTAAATAAGGTCAAAAAAACTAAACCTACGCAGCTACGCTAAATACATAACGTAAACACATAATGTAAACCACCTCCTGCTCTGCTCGCTACAACCTCCGGTCTCTCCACATCAACCGCAGAAGCTTGCAGGCTGCAGCAGTCCAGCACTCAACGATCAAAGTAAGCTTTCTTCTCCTTCATCTTCCATTTTATTTATTTTTTCATTTTTCAGCAGCTACTTCTCATACATGTTTCAGCATGTATGCTTCAGTTATATACTACCAGTGTGTTTTTTGTGTATGTATGTGTAAAGTGTAAAATACCTTTCTATTATCTTCCATACAGCTTATTTTGCATGTTTCAGTTAGTAACCTAACAGCTTTCTTGTACTCTACAGCTGTTTATTAGTTAGTACTTACTACTTAATATGTTTCTGCATGTTTATCTGTTAGTATGTTTTCAGTTAGTATGTTTCAGACTTTCAGTTTATCAGTATGTTTCAGACTTTCAGTTAGTATATAGTTGTGACTTGTGGTAAATTTTGTTGTGGCTACAGGGGTGGTGACAGGGAGGGGCTGACGGTGGCCATGGCCCCTGCAAGAAAAAAAAATCTTAAGTATATACTACCTCCGTCCAGTTGGAATGTTCTCGTTCGGTTTACGATGTTTGACAGATAAAGCAACTCGATCCTTGTTCACACTCCGCTTATTTTTAGTAAATAAAATTTACATATTCAGAAACTACATTAAAACCGCTACAAAGCCTGATCAAGAAAAGTTCAATTTGATAAAAATTTGATATATAAAGTAAAAGATTAGGAGTGACTTAAGTTGACCAATAAATAGTAAACAGGAACATTTCAACGGGACGGAGGGAGTATTATGTATTAATACTTTTAATCTGTAGAAAGTATGTTGATAAGGACCAGTGAGGACCGGTCCCTTTAAACTTTGGCCCTTGCAATGTAAAATTGTTAAGGACCGGCCCCTTTAACCCTAAATGTTTGGCTCCGCCACTGTGTGGCTGGGTTTAAGTTTTTCAGTTTAGTTTCCATGTACTAGAAGTCTGGTATATGTTTCAGCATGCTTTTCAGTTACTGTGTGTCATTAAGTATTTTTTACGGTTAGCATGTTTCAGCATGCTTATCAGTTAGTACAGTATGTTTCAGTTAGTATTTTTTTTCCCAGTTATTATGCTTCAGTTAATTTAGTATGTTTCAGCATGTATGTTTCAGTTAATTAGTAAACTTAATTTTTTATATACTGAAATAATACTGTATATATAACATCTGGCTTGTGTAATTTCTACAGGACATGGAAGGTGGAACTTCAGCCACGGCTGGTGGCTTCTGAAGCTGCTAAGTCAACAAAAAATGACCCGGCTTGGAAACACAATTACTGTGCTTACCCAAACAATCAAAATGGGGGGATATACAGGGCCAAACTAAAATCTAATTATGTTTTATTTTCTAGTTTTAGTGTTTAAGACTTTAAGTGAATCATGAGTCATGACTTTATTTTGGTTAATCACTTAATCGTGACTTTATTTTGGTCAATCGTGACTTTATTTTGGTGAAGCATGACTTTATTTGTAAGAAACATGACTTTTTAATGTATTTCCTTCAATATGGTGAACTGGTACATCATCTTTGATTGTTGGAGAGTAGTATGTGTTATTTTTTCTAAGCATTGCGCCTGACACGAGTCATGCGAGCGCTTTTTTGCGCCTTGCGCCTCAGGCGCTGGGATTACCTTGTCGCCTTGAGTGCGCCTAACGCCTTTGACTACCTTGGTAGTAACTCTCATCACAGTAAAAACAAAGGTTTTTATTCTTCTTTCTTCACTGTCTGCTGTCATAGTCTTCCTTCCTGTAAACTGGGCACCTTTAGGATCCTTCAAACCAGTTGGAGGCTTGGCTAATATCCCCTGATTACCTAAATAAGATGTATTCTTGTATGGAGCTATTACTCTATTCCCTCGAGTTTTATAAGCTGGTCTTTTTGTTTCATTTCTCCCTACCCTCTTTAAGGCCTCCAAACTGTTTGAAGTAGGGGTGGACCGGTTCCGGTTCGGGCCCGGTTCGGGCCTGGGCCCGGCCGGGCCTCGGTTCAGAAAAAGGAGGCCCGGGCCCGAACCGGTGGTGGGCGGTTCCGGTTCCGGTTCCGGCCCAGAACCGGGCCGGGCCACCCGGAATGTTTTTTTTTTTCTTCTTCTCTTATTTAACGGAATTAACCCCCTACCCCTCCCCCTCCACCCCAAACCACCCCAAACCACCTCAAATGGCCCAAAATACCTAATCCAACCCAAAACTTAAAAAAATTTCAAAAAAAAAAAAAAATTAAATTCCGGCCCGAACCGGGCCCGGCCCGGCCGGGCCGGTTCACTAAACTGGAGGCCCGGGCCCGGACCGGTATACCACCGGGCCTGGAGGCCCGAACCGGAACCGAACCGGTTGACCGGGCCGGTCCGGGCCCGCACAGTAGCGGGCCGGTCCGGTTCCGGGCCGGTTGGCCCGGCCCGAGTCCATCCCTAGTTTGAAGGCTTTGACAAAATGCTTATTAGTGGGGTTAAGCCCCCCAATGAAACTGTCCAAAAAGAATTCCTCCAGTAATCGCTCACTTCTTTGTAACTATCCATATGCTCATTTTAAGAGTTTAGTTGTTGTAGCTTATTAGAATCTTTAACTATTGTACTTCCTAATTCTTCATTGAATCTAGCACAGATATCAATCACGGATTATTCCCATGTTACTCTTTTTTATGAATAGAGATGTAGCTAGTGAACCAGGTCTCCGCTCTACCAGTTAGATACAGTGATGCTAGGTCAATCTTTTGGGTATTTCAATAGCACATAATTCAAAATACTTTGCACATTTCTGTACCCAATTTCTTAGACTATTACCCAAGAAGACAGGAAATTCAATCTTTGGAAGAAATCCAAAGGTTCTAGCATGGTTACCTGAGTTCAAAGTAGAGTTTCCATGATCTGCACATGGGACACGGGTGAACTGAGAGATTGATGCTCTTCTTCTTCGTTTCTTCGTTGTAGAAGTATCAATAATGCATCGAGTTTTTGATTAGTCTTGGCAAATTTCTTATCGTTATGTAGAATCTGCTCATGATCCTAGAACCTTGTCTTCGTTTCTTACCGTTCTAATCCTAGAACCTTGTCTTCCATCATTGCCGAGAGCGACAGAGCGTAGCTACAACTATCTTATTCGCCAGGGTTTTTGAATGAAGTAATTGAAGAATTTGGAGGTCGTCAATGGTGGGATGACGGATTCAGAGCCGCTCTGATACCAATTGTAACGTTCTAGGATCTAACTGCGGAACAACAACATCCAAACCTTAACCCTAAAAGAATTTGGGGCCGGCTAAGTGGCTAACATGAACCGATTCATGATATTAGTGCTAAAAAGAGAAGAAAGTTAATGGGAAAAAAGTAAGATAAAATGGATGTGTGTAAGATAAGATAAAGATAACTACTCTATAAGATAACAATAACGAAAGAATATAAGAAAGATAAAAACATAAAAGAGCATAAAAAGATAGAAGATAAAAATAACATAAAAACATAAAAAGATACCGAAGATAAACGATAAAAGAAAAGGAGAGAGGATAGATAGAAAAGAGATCACTCGTCCACACGAGCGCCCTCCACTTTATGCTCATCTAACTTCGAAGAATGAACAAAAAAGTAGGAATTCTTAAAGCAGAAAAGAATTCGAACGAGAGAATCAGGAATCATTCATGGTGGAAAGAGATTAATTGAAATTGAATTCATAGTTCATTATCTTACATGCATACGTAGTATATACAACATTGACTAACAACCCCATACATGCATACGTAGTATACTACCTCCGTTCTCTTTTAAATGCAACGTTGGACTTTTTGCACTATTCACATGTTATACTTTGACTACGTTTTATTTATTAATGTAATAATATATATTTTTGAAAAAAATATTGTTAAATTTTCTCATTATAAATTTTCAGAATCTATTTTTTAAACGTTTTTTACTAATCGGGAATTATATATATTAATGGTCAAAGTTGTGCCTCGGCAAATGTGAAATGTTGACTGTTGCATTTATTAAAGAACGGAGGAAGTATACAACATTGACTAACAACCCCATGCATGAATGTCTGCCGCCTTGTTTAGCTGAGGTGTCCAATGACGTGGCATCAGGGTGCCGTTTCATAACAGGTAATGATGATGATAATATGTTTGTGTGTGTACTAGTTTACCTTGTTTATTTGATTCCATGCTTTTGACATAATCCACATTATCTGTCACAATTTATTAGTGTCTCATCTAAAACAGTTCTCTACCCAGTGGCGGAGCCAGAAATCTGTGGTTGAAGGGGCCGGTCTTTAAAAATTTTACATTGCAGGGGTCAAAGTTTAAAATATCAACATATTTTCTATAGATTAAAGGAAAAATTGATAGTAATAATCCCAACTATTGGCGGTCCGCTTATAATAATCCCAACTATTGATTATTTCAGAATAATCCCAACTTTAGGAACCATCCGCTAATAATGGTCCATGATTAGATTTAACTCCTATAAAAATTGAATTTTAAATAGAAATTAAGTGTAAAAATTAAAAGTTGGGATTATATATAGGCATTACTTGCTATATCTCTTCTCATCCACTTTAGAAACTACAAGAATTTATTCTTAGGGACCATTATTGGCGGAAGGTCCCTAAAGTTGGGATTATTCTAAAATAATCAATAGTTGAGATTATTATAAGCGGACCGCCAATAGTTGGGATTATTACTATCAATTTTTCCTAGATTAAAAGTATTTATACATAATATATACTTAAGAATTTTGTTCTTGCAGGGGCCATGGCCCCCTCCAGCCTCTCCCTGTCTCCACCCCTGTCTCTACCCCTTGAAATAGAGGCAATGTATTTGCAGATCTGACCTTCCCCAAAGCTTATATCTGAGTCAGACATACTTGATTTGATTCATTTGTTTGAGTTGGCTTATTGGCATCATAAATAAATTAATGATATGTTTGATCGTGCATCTTTCTAGTAAGGAGTAGCATTCTTCTCAGCACTAATGAAATCATGAGAGCATTGGTCATTGTTGTAATCTATTGACATGCAGATTCGAGCACCAGCGTACCCAGGGGAGCGTTGGCAGGGAGGGTGGGTTCCTGAACCGTTTTCCACCCAAGTTCATTGAGAAGCAATTTTATACTCCGTATTTGTATACTGTGTACTATAAAAAACTTATATGGATGATTTATTTAGATTTATTTATTAGGTCCGTTGAGTTATTTATTTATTAGGTTCATTTATTTATTTATTTATTAGGTTCATTTTGTTATTTATTTATTTATTTATTTATTTATTTATTTATTTATTTATTTATTTATTTATTTATTTATTTATTTATTTATTTATTTATTTATTTATTTATTTATTTATTTATTTATTTATTTATTTATTTATTTATTTATTTATTTATTTATTTATTTATTTATTTATTTATTTATTTATTTATTTATTTATTTATTTATTTATTTATTTATTTATTTATTTATTTATTTATTTATTTATTTATTTATTTATTTATTTATTTATTTATTTATTTATTTATTTATTTATTTATTTATTTATTTATTTATTTATTTATTTATTTATTTATTTATTTATTTATTTATTTATTTATTTATTTATTTATTTATTTATTTATTTATTTATTTATTTATTTATTTATTTATTTATTTATTTATTTATTTATTTATTTATTTATTTATTTATTTATTTATTTATTTATTTATTTATTTATTTATTTATTTATTTATTTATTTATTTATTTATTTATTTATTTATTTATTTATTTATTTATTTATTTATTTATTTATTTATTTATTTATTTATTTATTTATTTATTTATTTATTTATTTATTTATTTATTTATTTATTTATTTGGCTTTAAAAAAACACTTATTTTCCCAAACACTATAACTTTTATTTTTCTCGGCTTCCGCGTCAAAAGTGCTTTTACTTTTTCTATTACACAAAAAACACTTATTTTACCAAACACTATCCACTTTTACTTTTCAAAATCACTTTTTTCTCAAACACTGTCAACTTTTATTTAATCACTTCTCTCAATTTCATTAAAAAAAGCACTTTTTTAAAAGCAGAAGTTGTTGCAAACAGACCCTTAGACTGTTGGATTTCTAGATATGCTTTAATACCGTTCACCACCCACACATGTAGGGGTGGACTCGGGCCTGTTCAGGCCCGGCCGAGCCTCGGTTCATGAAATGGGAGGCCCGGAACCGGCCCGGGTAACCCCCGGGTCCGGTTCGGGCCGGGTAACCCCCGGGTCCAGTTCGGGCCGGGCCTCGGTTCAAATTATTGTCTTTTTTGGCTTTTCCTAATTAACCCCCAACCCTCCCCCTCACCCCCAAACCACCCCAAAGCACCTCAAATGGCCCAAAATACCCAGCCCAACCCAAAAACATAAAAAAAAATCAAAAAAAAAAAAGAAAAAAAAATTAATTGGCCCGAACCGACCGGGCGGGTTCACCTTTTCAGGGGCCCGAGTCTGGCCCGGAACCCAAGCGGGTCGGGACTACCCGGATCGGTCCTTAGCCGGGCCGGCGGTTCGGGCCA